TCGAATTGAGAACCTCCTCCTTTTTTGAAGGCGGTTAAAAATGCAAACTTACTTCAAAATATTACAAGAAAACCGCTGTATTGAATAGGTACATTCCATGTTCAAAATGTTTTTTTTTTATATCAACTGAACTAAATAGAACATGTATAGTATACGATATACATTTTTCGAAAGGCTTTAACATCGTTTATAAGCAAAAATAATTTCTGAAATAAAGTCAGTGTCTCTGGCTCTCGACTCAAGCAATATGAACCATGTTAGTAGAATAGAATAGAATAGAATTATTAATTTCAGACCATGATCCATGGTAATGTTAGTAATACAGTAAATTTATCTTACGTGCTATGGTTAGTACAAAACAAAATTACTTATAGGAAATGAAACTATTTTTCCGGATTTAAATCGCGTATATTTGTTTTTTCAAACAAACCGACGTTTAGGGCCCTTTACAGGTCCCATGGTCACGGTTGACTGAGGTGGTACAGTCTTCAACCAGTTATGTCTAATATTGATGCAAACCACCCTATTTTTTCACTATAGTTACAATAGTTATTAATTAAATACCTTATTTTTAATTTTACAAAGAAAACATTCCAATTTACGCTACATTAAGTTTTACAAATTATTTTATTGAATGTATTTTTATTAAGTTCAATTTATTATTAATTATTAATAGAAATTAGAATAAACTAAAACATATTAATTAGTACTGCAGTCTTATGTCTGTTTGGGATTTTTCATTAGAGGAAATAATGGATCCCAAATTGGTGGTACGGAGAAACCATCTTCCCTGTTGAAATTAGGATGTTTTTTAATTTCAATGGCCTCTCGCAGCATCCTGGGTAGATAACGGACTTCTTTTGCAAGGACCTGGGGTTTGTCAAACTTCATTGAATGTGTAGGTTTATCCACGACATGCTCGCAGACTGCAAACTTGTTTATGCGACGGTCTTTGACATCAGCTATATGTTCTTTGACGCGTGTACAAATACTTCGCTTCGCGAAACGTCGGTTTGTTTGAAAAAACAAATATACGCGATTTAAATCCGGAAAATTACTTAATTCTAGAGAAATGCTACGTCTAGACCACTACCCTACGCACGTGTAGTTGCACCCAATGTTGTTGGTAGGGGCACTCCAGCCTGTTGGCAGTAACGGCTAGGATGCTATTGGCGCTGCAGCGCACACGCATCATGAGTGAGGCAGCCTTCTTGCGCATAATGGAGTGAAACCCTCCGTGCACTACAGTGTCGCGAAAGGCCGGTTAGCATCCTAAAAGCGTTGTTATATTGCACCCTTCATGTATTCAGGGTCATGTGCGTATAGTTCATTATACTATGTTGGTACAGGAAAAGTTTGAATTCGAGTTGGTAGTATCGACTCCTAAGGAAGTCTCATAAAAAAAAATTAAGTATATTGGTAACTCACAATGCAATATTTAGCGTCATTCGGGCATTCTTCGAGCTTGGCTGCAGTCCGGTTGGCGCATGGAGTGATGGAGCCCACTCCGTCGCTGTACTGCCCGCATTTCCAGCACTTGATACCGCTGGCTGTAACTGCCAAAGCCAGGAGACAGCACACTGTCGCTAGAATTGTCGTGCTTGACATTTTCTGTAACAAAAAAGAATTGCTACAACTACTTACAAATGATTATTACATTTAGTTCCATCGAGCACCGGTAGACGGCGTTAGTGATATTCTAAAACACGTAAGCAGTTTGGTAACTTTGAAGTATAAGACAATTCTTGCATTTTGTCTCGCTTGTCTGCCTACCCACCGCTCCCCACTGGCATTGTTAGTTTTTCTATTTCCTTATAAACCGTATAGTTAATAATTCCAGTTCACCATCGCTCCAGATTCGTAAATTTTTTTCTGTGTAAATTTCGCTTTCCTTGCTTATTTTGGTATACTTACTTCATTTTAGAAAATTACCTTTTTTGGATATTTTCGGAGTCACAATTGGACCGGAAAATAAATTACAAATGACATATATCAATATGCCATCTTCGTCATCAATAACTATCTTTACGTCCCACTGCTACGCACGGGTCTCCTCTAAGAACAATTTTTTTTCTATTCCATGAAAGACGCAATGTAATAGTACACTGTCTGGACTTGAGCCTCTGCTAAAATGGAACATAGGTATAAGATGGTAGCCCAGTGGAAGAACGGTTTCTTCTCAGTTAGGAGGTCAGCGGTTCGAATCCCTGTGGCTTTAATTTCTACGTTATGTACATTTTCAACCCGCACTGAAGCAGCATGGTGGAATTTTCTTTAGGGACCTTTTAGAGAAAACCCGTGACCAGAAGTATCGTTTAATGGTTTGATGATGATGTAGTTCTATCATAAGAGATTTTATTACGTTTTAACCATACAGATGACAAAAAATAAATTACACCTCGGGCCAGCCATTCGTTTTCTTCGTTCAACCTTTTCATCGGATCAATGTTTACCTGAGTAATTTCTAGGCCAGAAAATATAAAAGTCAACGTGAGAGCTATAAATATGAGCGAAAAATCGCAGGTAATAAATAATATTTTGCGTCTATTATAATAGCCTGTCTGGACCCTTTTATATAATAGGCTGCAACTTCTGTATAATATAATCAATCGTTCAATTTACAACGTATACAGGTTGTAAAGAAAGTTGAAGGAAAAAACGTTAAATTTTTTTTTCTTTTTTTACAATATCAAGTTACGGGACGAACAACTCGTGCGCCTGGATGGTATGCTACACGCCTGTCCAGTCGCAGTGCCACTCAGAGCTTTAAATCGCAAAGATCAAAAGAGAAAAGAGGGGCACTGCCACTAAGCCCGTCACCCAGAGACATAAGTTAACTAGTCCCATGTGCCTGTAATTTCACCAGCCCTTTCAAACCGGCGCTCTACTGCTACTAAAGTTATAAAATTTTTTTGTAACACCCTGTATATTCAATTGTATTGTACATATTGATAACGCTATTACTGTTGTTTAGAATTTCGAACTCTGCTATGAGACTAGCGTAATTATACAGATTGTTTGGTAGTTAATAGAGCGAACGTGTGGGGAAACAAGAGAAGTCGACCTCGCTGTGCATTTATCTCTCTCAATCTTATTGGAATGTCCCTTATAAAGGTCAAGAACAAGAATAGACGGGCGAAGGGACAGAAAAGTTTTTATGATAACTTTTTAATTACTTTTTATTACTAAACTTAAGAAACCCCGAAATGAAACGTCCATCGCTTTGGAAGCTATCCATCTGGTTAAAGAGATTGATTCGGCTGCAATACCATCTCGCTCTTTAGTGCGGCAGTCTCAAAGGTCAGGATTGCCATGATGTTGTCCAACAAGGAATTAAACAAACACTGGAATTAAAGGTGTAGTAGGTGCATAGCTTTATGCAATACAATACAGCATTGTAATACAATTTAAACTGTACCCTGTTGGCTGAAAGACGAGTAATTCGAGATATTTACTCAGCTCTCCAAAAAAGAAGCGACCATATTGCAGCGGTATAAGGTACCTATGCTTTCGTGTCTTGTAACAAAAATAAATATTGCGGTAAACAGAAAATTGAAAATTTATCAAAATGAAATATAATAAGACTTAACGATCATTTTTCATGGCTCAATGAATTTGCACTGTAGGTGCTGGTTGAGGAAGTCCCGGGGTAGATACCTGATGTGACCAAATTGGGAATATAACCTTTCTGAGTAACTTTTGGCACAGTGCAAAGACCACACAATGGGACATCGCCTTTGAAGTCGCACGAAATGTCGCTTTCATCTAGACAATACGTCATATCGTAGGATTGTCACAATGTACTTTTTATTTAGTCTAATATTGGGGTGTTCATGTAGGGAATAACAAAAAAAGATGTTGACCTGGGGTTTTCCCACAAGCCGTTTTAGGCAGACTTTCCAACAGAGATGTGCGACGTAGCGAAGCAGTGTGCGAGGAAAAATCCACCAATAGGACTACTTCATTTTTCTAGCCTCGCTTAGCGCAGCTCCGGTGAAAAAGGGTTAGCGGAGCTAAGTGTTTGTACATACAAAATAGCGAGAGATATGTGCGAGGGATGCGGGCGAGGAATGTGTGCAAAACGGTATAGGAAACTAGAGCTACTGAAAGTGTGTCACTAACTGACACTAGCATGTCGCCCCCGTTCACTCCACCACACCGTACCCCGCCCGCGCATAGCTGAAAAGTGTTCATAACGCATCCTCGCACAGCTTTGGTAGAAAACATCACACCGTTTCACAGCACCGCTGCACACCCTCGCACCGCCTCGCTACCTCGCACGTTTCTGGTGGAAAGGTAGACTTATGTTAATCGTAGTACACACCCCGTATCATTAGTGGTTATCTAGGACAATGTTTTAAAAGGTGTAGTAACGTCTCCGCAAATGTTACCTATCAGAAGTCCGAAATGACATATTCCAGAAATAACGATTGCTCGAATTTTCACAACCTAGAAAGTAATTTTGAGAGGAAAATGTTTTTTCTTTTAAACCTAACTTAACCTAACCTAATCGAACCTAATCGTGTCTTTGCAATAAACATCCTACATATCCTGAAAACACAACGGTTTCATTGTAATTCGGCTTTCGGGATAGTGAGAATTCGAACGAACGTTATTTCGGAACAACTAAATTACGTTACCCTCCGCAATCTTTGAAATGTCAGTATATTTAATATACTAAATCGCAAAAATCCAGTACATCAAAACTGAATAGAAGATGGATTATCTTAACGATCAGACCGGCCCCAGCATGAAAATTCGTTATTTGCTATGAAAAACTATTCACGATAAATACTTGGAGATTGCCGGTCAACCCCCCCTGGTCTATCTAACTATCGAATCTATGGCCATTCAAAGTTTTCTTTCTGTTACTTCGTGCGCAATTTACTCGGCATTCGTTTATTTCACCCATTGGTTTGAGTCGTTAGTCCGATTTTCCAGTCAAATACACATGGCTCTCGTTTACCTTAATCATTCACAAGAATATATATTTATAGTACAACTATCGTAATTTATCTCGAAAATCTTCGGGATTCCGAATGTACTCGAACACAAATTTCCATAAGTTTTAGATTAATCATCTATAATAATTTAAATTTAGAACAAAGTACTTAATCGTTTCTTTGTTTCGATTTCCATGGGAACTACGTTTGTAGAGTTGTAACATTATACCCTTTTTTACCGCCTTCAAAAAAGGAAAAGGTTCTCAATTTTTTTTTTATAGTGTATTTGTCCATATTTTTTGTTAGAAAGAGGCATATTGTTCCCATTCAAATTTGAAGAAAATATTCCACCTCTAAGGGTGCCAAATTAGGGGATGAATCCGGTTTATTTAATTTCACCCACTTTTCGTTAACCGATTTCAATAAAACTTCGTACATAGACGAAATGCTAATGAAAATAAAACACAGAGAAAATGGATAGGCAAACTTTTGAGATGGGTTTTTTATTTATATATAAAAGTTGTGATTATTGTAATGCCTATAATTTACTCCGCAACTATATACCTAGCAAGTTAACCAAGTCTCTAAATAGTAAATATTGTAAAAAATAGTGTAATCTAAATTGGTAACTCAATAAAATTATCTGACTTTAAAAAATATTTACAAAATAGCAGGTACTTCCAAGTATGTGTCCAGTCTGTACTCACATAGTCATTACATATCTCGATAACAAAACAGCTAATATAACCTGACCACTTCTTAACATTGTTAGAATTAACTGCCTTCGTGGCCGAACGGCTATCATGCTGGACTGCCACGCAGAGGCCCCGGGTTCGATTCCCGGGCCGGGAGAAATATTTGTATGGCCCACATTTATTTCTCTCTTGAGTTTGGGTGTAATTTGTGGTTGTCTATATGTGTGTCCATGGCACCTGGGATACAGGGTTTCCCCAGTGCGGGGCTATGTTGAGTGTGTGCGTTATTATTAGAATAATTATTGAAAGGGTTTGCTTATAATTTACAAACATAATTAAAAGGCAGAGACTCGTATATATTCGACGTCACAATCTGTTGTATACGAAAACACAATTGACAAATATTTTAATACAGTCAAAACTTAGTTTTCCTTCCTTACTTAATTAACTTCCAAACAAAGCTCTTTGCTAGTAAATGTTGAAATTGGACTAGAAGAAGTTTCAAAAACAAATATCCGCACGTTACACTGTTAAGCCTGCCAAACCTTACTTTTTTTAATACAATAAAAATTTGAATCATTCCCATCTAAATTTATAGTTTTATTTTGATTTACAAAACAAAATTCTTGTGAAAAACCCTTTACAAGGCTTTGTCCACATAAATTTTATTGTAGAAATAAAGAAAGTGTACAGGATGGGAAAAGAACAGGTAAAAGGCAAGGCTGTAACAAAACAATGATATGTAAACAGGTACAATGGTTTAAAACACTTCCTACTTAAATTATCCGCTCACGCGATACATGCAGCCGTAGACGCATACCACACGTGATGATTTTATACCGATTTATCGGATATCGAAGTTATAACAGGTAAAAGTTCTAATATTAATTGCTATTTCGGTAACTACTCTAGCTAACTATAAAATTTTTAATGCTTGGGTCTGTCATTTAAAAAAAATAAACAACTTCAAAAATACGTCACGACAATCGTGTGTGTTATTGTTTGGGCTGGTGATTTCGGTGTTTATTTATTGAAAACATACCGTAAGTTGCGTTTTTTAAGTTTACCCTGAATATAAATGTTTATAAACTATACTTTAAGGTGTAATTTCATGGTAAACGTTAGAACCACTCAAACGGAATATTATCATATTTATCTAAGCACACCAAAAATTTCATTAGTGCTTTTTAAGTGCACGATTTTTATTTATAACAACTTGTATTTAAACTGAATGCTTTTCTAATTTGCGAAACCAAATAGCCACCATTTTGCGGTAGGAGGAGCGCATCGCGTGAGCGGTTATATACAGGTTATGGTAAAAAGAAACTTACCTCAAAAGGGCCTGTAATTTCTAGAAATACTATGCTTTCGGTTATGTGGTTCGGCAGTTCGGTTATGTGATATTCAATGGTACCACAAATATAATACTTTACAAGAAGTTAAGTTACATAATACGTGAAGTGGAGCACGTGACTCGCTTCGGAAATTTAGTAGAGAGTGGCGATGGAAAGAAGAAAAGTAAGTGACGAAGAAGAAAGGAATTTAAGAACGATTCAAAATTTCAAAGGCCTGGCCTTTGACCAGAGAAAAGGGTGTTAAAAAAGTGGAATGACGACATTCACTTACGAATATATGGACGTCGGGTCCGCGCTAAAAGTGTCCGAACTTATAGGGCGTTAAAATCGTATACAGAGCGTCATTCACGCTTTAGTCTTCGTTTGTTCGACTGACAGCGAAGCAAGCAAAATTAGACAGTACTGCGATTACATTACAATTTAAATTCAACGTTTTAGCTTTTTCATATTCCTTTACATGTCACTACGTTTAAATAGGTTGACTTGGGACATTTTTTTTCGTGGTTTTTGTATTAGACCCGTCGTCCATTTATTTGTAAGTCAATGGATGACGATGAAAGATGTCACATGGGTTAAGAACGTAGTGATTAATAAATCTTTTAAATTCTTGAGAACGGAATACGTAAAGTTATTCCCATTATTGTAAAAAATACTTATCACACACCGGGGTAGTCCAATCAGATTGAACGAATTTTAATTAGTGTTGTTTGATCTTTGTAAGAGTAGATAAAGGTATGTTAAAAATAGTTTGGTCCCATGGAGCGGAAAGGGTACAGCCACGAAGGACGTTCTCAGATCAAATCGAGAATTTTCTTAATTCATTTTTTATTGAATTGATATTCAATTATTTTTTGTGAAGTTACTCCACTAGTTTGTTATAATTATTAATACAAAGATCGAACACTCAGAAAAAATTCCTTCGATCCGGTCGGATTCGAACCGACATCTTCTCTTTGTACTTGGTTTTTCAACGACTTTTTAGTCGTAGCGCCATCTATGAGAAATCTTTGACAGATTTATCACCCAGTTAGTACCTTTACAGCTACCAGTCCTGGCGAGAGATGTCGCTATTCACTGCATTAATTAAATTTTTATTTAATTGATATTCAATTATTTTTTGTGAAATTACTCCACTAGTTTGTTATAATTGTTAATACAAAGATTCATTAATTCTTATTTATTGTTTGGAAGATTTACATCAAATTTTTATCAATAAATATATTATGAACAGTGCAAATTACAAATCACCACAAGTAGCACGAAAAATAGGTTATTAAGGCTTTAGTAAGCAGAAATTAAAACATTATTATTGAAATGTAAA